CTCTCTTCTCTCTTCTCTCTTCTCTCTTCTCTCTTCTCTCTTCTCTCTTCTCTCTTCTCTCTTCTCTCCTCTCTCCTCTCTCCTTTCTCCTCTCTGCTCTCTGCTCTCTGCTCTCTCCTCTCTCCTCTTTTCTCTCCAAAGCTCAAACCTACATGAATACCAGTTCCCTTTTGCCTCGTTGAGTGTTTGGCGAGGCCTAGAAAAGGACTCGTAAAAGTGGCAAGTACAGCCCGGGCGGTGGTGGACAACTTGAAAGGGCGGAACAAGGTCAGGCTGCTAAACCCGAGATCTATTACGAGATGAGACAGAATCGTGGAAATATCGAGGGGTGGTTTCGCCCCCCCCCTCCTTTCCCCCCCTACCAGCTTGTGACCACTTGAATAACTCATTCACGAACTAACTCTTTCGTCTGTCTCTCTATCTCTTTCGTCAGATTTCTAGGCAGCGACAACCAGCAGACGTACTTCTCAAGCGTACAGCGCTCCCGCGTGCTGTATGAGATCCTATCCACTGCCATGTTCGGGAAGAAGAAGAAGGGGGAAGTCGGAATTGACCGATTAGTCGAGGAAGGGGTCTTCTCCACCGCATTTTCTCTGCACGACGTACGTATACTCTCTCTCTCTCTCTCTCTCTCTCTCTCTCTCTCTCTCTCTCTCTCTCTCTCTCTCTCCTGCCCAAGTTGTAGAGGGGGTGCAAACATCGGCAAACGTCGTCATGCAGTTTTGTGGGATTGTGACACTTGTAGAAGAAGTGTTGCAATCCAACAGTTTCAGGAACCCGGTCAGCCGTGTGCTTTTATATCAACCATGTGCTTTATGTCAACCATGTGCTTTTATATCAACTTTAAAAATACGTGGTAGAGTTTAAGTCGCGCCATCCACACACCATATTTTGAGGGAGGCTCATCTATTGCTAACGAACGTTTGTCAATCAGTTTGGCAATGTTACGGCACCGTTGGGGGATGACACGATGTCACTTTCGCTAAATGTTGCATGAGACGTGCCTGCGACCGTGTTGCCGTGTGTCAGCCAGGACGGCTGGCAGGATGTGTTGATCTGAGCACCGATAGCCGGAGCCGGAGGGGCGACGGAGGGGTCGACAACGCGCGTCCTCCTCGTGTTACAAAGCTTGACGTACTCCGAATGTACTCCGCGTACTGGCTGTACTCCGAGTACTCCGACTTTACTCCTGTATACACTTTTTAAAAAAGCTGAGCTGTCGACCCTTCCGAGCACACGCACGCAGCGCCCAGCTCACCTCCCCCCTCTCTCTACTCTCTCTACTAAGGGAGCGGGTGCCCTTTTGTTAATCGGGACTTACAAGTCCTCTTAAAAGAGTACCCTAATAAAGCAATATTGTATTCTATTCTACTCGCTGCTGCAGGGGCCGTACCGTGACCCGAGTGCCTCTCCCGGCGGCCCTGGACCCTGCACGATGAACCCCCGCCAGGTGCTGTACGAGTACTGGGCACGCTGGGGCGAGTGGTACCGGTACCAGCCGCTGGATCACATCCGAGACTACTTCGGGGAGAAGATTGCCATCTACTTCGCCTGGCTGGGTAAGTACCTTCCGACTGTGCGGCCCTAGGGGTACTTCACTATAAATCCGATCGTACACTAATTTTTCTGTGTTTCCGTAAATCTTTCTGATTTTTTCCTCATCTTTTGAAGGGTGTACATTCATTTTTTGGGGTGAAGTACTATTCTTCGGTGCGTTTCTGCACGTTAAATAAAAGAATTAGTTAAATTAGCCAATGTATTCGCGAATATGGCCTTGGATTAGAATTAATATTCCTCGCCCAGCTAATTATTAGCTAAGAGAGCTAAAAAAATTACCAGAACAGTTTGTTTATAAAATAAAACAACTATAGCTATGCACTCTCATTTCCTTACGGACTCGCTTACGGATAATTTTGTGCAACCGTATTGTGGATCACATTTTATCTGTAATACGGATGAAAACAACCGTAATATGGACAATTTTATCCGTATTATCAACACAGCTTGGTTCGTAAGTTACGGAGAAAAAATATTCATTTCTCCATAAGTGACGAACCTAGCATTGTTGATAATACGGATAAAATCATCCATATTACGAACCATTTCATCCGTATTACAGATAAATTTGATCCATATTACGCTTGCACAAAATTATCCGTAAGCGAGTCCGTAAGGAAATGAGAGTGTGAAAGCTGATATGTTAGCTAAGAATAGCTAAGCAGGCTCTTATTGTGATGCAAGGCCATATTAGCGAATGCATTAGCTAATTTAGCTACCTTTCTTTCCCCGTGTGGCGCTCGCGCTGGTCGCTGCTCCCGGCTCACCCTCTGCTCTGCCCTCAGGGTTCTACACGGGCTGGCTGCTGCCCGCGGCGCTGGTAGGGGTGCTCGTCTTCATGTATGGCCTGTTCACCATCAACGACAACCCGCTGGCCAACCAGGTGTGCCACTCGGGCGGCTCGTTCAAGATGTGTCCGTTGTGCGACGAAAACATCGGCTGCAAGTACTGGGACCTGAGCGACGTGTGTGGCTACGCGCGTCTTGCGTACCTGTTCGACCACCCGGGCACGGTGTTTTACGCCATCTTCATCTCGCTCTGGGGTGAGTGAATGGGGGTCGGAATGGAAAAAATCACAATGTACTATAGGAAATTAGAAGTTCTCTAGTAAAACGCTGCAATTCTAGCCGTGACATTCCTGGAGTACTGGAAGCGCAAGTGTGCCTCGCTGGCCCACCACTGGGACTGCACGGGCTTCCAGGAGGAGGAAGAGCGGCCGCGGCCCGAATTTGCGGCCCGGGCGCCATTTCTCGAGCGCAACCCGGTGACCGGGGTCCGGGAGCCGTCCTTCCCCGCCTCTCTGCGCACCAAGAGGGTCGCCGCCGGCATCGGCATCATATTCCTAATGGTGAGTGTGTGCTGACCCGGCGCTGACTGTCGGTGATAATGGGGACACACTTGTGTAATGGCGTCCTGCGACCTGCGATACATGTGAAACCCGTCTACAGATGTCGCTGGTAATCATCTTCATCGTGGCTGTGATCATCTACCGTGTCCTGGTGTCAATCCCACTCTTCCAGAACGCCACCTTCCGCTCTCAGGCTCAGAGCATTGCTAACTTGACAGGTGCCGTGGTGAACTTGGTCCTCATCATGGCCATGAGCAGGGTGTACGAGAAGTTGGCGTTCAGACTCACCTCCTGGGGTAAGGCTCATGACTTGTCAATTGCCCGCAAGATCATCTACTTCTACTAAAACAATCTCCATTTATCCTTCAGAAATGCACCGAACACAAACAGAGTTCGACGACAACCTCACCTTCAAAGTATTCATCTTCCAATTTGTCAATTTTTACTCGTCCATATTCTACATCGCATTTTTCAAGGGCCGATTCGTTGGATACCCAGGGAACTACACTCTGATTTTACGACTGAGAAATGAAGACGTAAGTTCACTTAGAGTTTTGTTATTGTTGTATCAACAGTTGGGCAGACGAAAAGTGAAGCCCATCGGGTGTCTTGACTTTTGTAGTGCAGTGCTGGCGGCTGCCTGATCGAGCTGGCCCAGCAGCTGGCCGTCATCATGATCGGCAAGCAAATGATCAACAACGCCCAAGAGCTGCTCGTCCCCAAGCTCAAGGCGTGGTGGCAGAAGAAGCAAGTGAAACTGCCTCGCAAGCGCGACAAGACCCGTTGGGAGGAGGACTACCAGCTCATCGACAGCGAAGGCCTCTTCCAGGAGTACCTCGAGATGGGTAGGTTTCTTTCGACCTAAGACAATTTTGTTTGACCCTGACTTGACCTCTAGGCTTCATGCCTCTTTTCCCTCAGTTCTGCAATTTGGCTTCATCACGATTTTCGTGGCGGCCTTCCCTCTTGCTCCGCTGTTCGCCCTGCTCAACAACTGGGTGGAGATCCGCCTTGATGCGCACAAGCTGGTCTGTGAGACGAGGCGCCCCGTGGCGGAGCGCGCGGAGAACATCGGCATCTGGTTCAAGATCCTCCACATGCTCGCGCACCTCGCCGTGATCAGCAATGTGAGTAGCTTGGTGTCTTCGCGCTTGGCGCCTGTGAGGTAGGCCACGCCTGAGAGTCGCACGCACGCGTGCGTTGCGGGTTTGCCTACCCTACCGTCTGCAGGCGCTCAACTAGACCGTGACTAGGCCACTAAATGAGAGAGCTGTCTTTGCCACCAGGGCTTCCTCATCGCGTTTACATCCGAGTTCCTGCCCAAGCTTCTGTACCAGTACGAATATCACTGGAACCTGGACGGGTACGTCAACTTCACGCTGTCCTATTCGCCTGAGGGCACTCTGTCGCAGCAGTGTCGCTACCGGGGCATGCGTGACCCCACCGGCAAGCACACGCCTTTCTTCTGGCGTCTTCTGGCCGTCAGGTTTGCCTTCGTCATCATCTTCGAGGTAAGCTTGGTGTAGATGGAGTACCAATAGGAACGGGAACGTCCACACGTGACTGATTGTGGCATGTGACCTGCAGCACGTCGTCTTTGGAATCTGCCGCTTGATCGACGTCCTGGTGCCAGACATACCCGAGAGCCTTGAGCTGAAGATCAAGCGCGAACGGTACTTGGCTAAGCAGGCCCTGCAGGACTCTGACACCATCCTGAGGGTAAGATAGAGCGCAGCAGGAGCGCGCGCCAGTGTGCAGTGTGCCGCTTTGTTCATGTCTTCGTGTCCCGACGCTTCTGCTTCTCACCGCTTATTCGTGTTGCAGGTAGCCGCAAACCACACGGATGAGGAGGAGCAGCCGCCTCCGTTCGGTGGCATGGTGCTGGACCTCACGTCTGAGCTGGGCGCACTCATGCCCTCGCTGCTGATCGCCGCGCCCTCGAGCAGTGAGCTGGCCAGGGCGGCACAAGAGGCGATGGCGGGGCCGTCCGTTCTCAAGGACCTGCTGTCACCCGCGCCGTCCTCCAACCTGTCGGCATCTACCCCGTCCAGGTCGCCGGTGCCGGACGCCGAGACGACCGACACTTTGCAAGACAAGAAGACAGAGAAGAAGTCAGCTAACCAGACAGCTCGCTCCCGGCCGCGGCCTCGGCCTCGAACAGTGACTGATGTGGACCAGGTGGTGACGTCGCCCGCCGGTCTCGGTGCACAACCGCGCCACTCCATGTCTGCCACAGCTATCAGCACCAAGCTGCGCGGCAACAGTCGCACGGCCTCAGTTGACAACAGCGGCACCAACACAGCCTCTCGCTCACCTCAGTCTGTCCCGGACACTTCTTTGTTCGAATACGTCGCCCTCCAGGGCGCCGACGGGGCGGACACCATGTCCTTTGTGTCCAGCGGGGAGGACGGCGGGGAGGCCGAGGACGAGGCCACGGACCTGAGCGTGTCGCGCCGACGTGCAAGGATCACAGTCAAGCGTCGGGATCGACCTGCCTCGGCCTTTGTCGGGGAGGTGATAGCAGATGGCGCTGCGGTGCACGAGGTCCTCCGCCGAAGCGTACCATCGAAGCTAGATCAGGCCCAGCACGTAGTCGTCACCATCCCCCAGCAGCACGATTGGCCCGACTCGTCCAGCGTGAGCGAAGCGAGTTCCACGGAGGAGAGTGTGTTTCCGGGAGCGCTGGCGCGTGGCCTGGCGGGGGCCGCCGCGCAGAGTGCCATCAGCGTGGGCTGCCTCGTCCACCCACCGTCAACGGTCCCGGGCCAGTCCTCGGTCCACAGCTCGCCCCGCAAGACTCGTGGTCTCGGCAGCTTCTCGGTCGGCTCAGACCTCAGCAGCTTGGTCAGTCAAGATCCAGATAGCTTCTCGGATCTCCACCTGCGGCACGGCATTGCTTTCGGCAGTCCCAAAAAGACTCCGACAAAGATTCCGTCGGTGGTGGCAGCACCTCCGCCTTTGCGCGAGCACAGCGACTCGCTCGGCTCGGACATCAGCAGTCTTGCAGGGCAGGACGCCGAGCAGTGGGCTGAGGTCGTGGTGGAGGTGGACGTCGAAGAAGTGACCGAGGCCGTGAATTGCGGACCGCAGCAGTCGACGGGGTGCCTCCCCGCGCCTCCAGCGCTGACGAGGGCCAGCAGCAGCAAGGGGCCTCGCCGAGAGCGCCAAATGCCGCCGCGAGATCAGAGCGTGTCCGTCACGTCTGGGCTCAACGTGACTCAAGGCGTGAGCGTCGAGGAGCAAGGCCTTCGTAGCCTGCGCCACGCCGGAGCCTGCTTCGACATCAACCGCGTAGGCTCCGCTTCGCGCGATGAGGGGGCCTTCCCTGTCCGTAGCCCCGCCTCCGAGTCCTCGCCCAGCGCCACTGGCAGCGGACCCACAGAGGCGAGCATCCACTCTGAGGCCGTCTCGGACATCCACTCTGAACTCCACTCCGAGGCTTACTCCGTGGCCCACTCACTGTCCAGCGACTCACTCGAGCGAAAGCACTCTAACAGGAGTTCTGGCATGTCTTTCGGATCCGAGTCCGCCACGTGGGCAAGTGCGGGCCTGAGCCAAGTGTCAAGAGCCTCTATCAATTTCGAAGACGAGGCATCTTGGCCATCAGCCCCGTCATCGTGGAGCAGACGGAGTTCCAGGGAGGCACACATCGAGGAAGTAGCAAACGCTGGGGAGCGGCGACGCAGCTCTGGGTCGAGCATGGAGCAGTCCGAGCGCGTTGGCTTTCGGTTGGCGTCGACCAGGGATTCCACATCAGGGAATGGAGGAGATCCAAGACTCTTCTTGGACCGACGAGGTCCACCACCACCACCGCCACCACGGAGACGCACCCCTAAGGTTGCAGAAAATAGCCAACGGCCTTGTCCGAGCTTTCGGGAGAAAGAATCCCCTGTCTGATGGAATTGGACGATGCATCCTCAGCGCTGGAACGTAAAAAGTACACACTAACTTATTAAGAAATGTCAATGTGTAGGTTATTTTCTCAACTAAAAATAGCTTAGTAGGAGATCAACTTTTTAAATTACTTAGATAGAAGAGAAATTATGACTTGTTTTGTCGTCATCCACAGGCGACAATTAATTTTTATACTTGTGTAATATTTTGCGTGTTCTTTGCTGTTTTAAAATTAAGAAGGAAAACTGTGTGTACATTCCAGTTTAACAGCATGCAGTAAAGTTAAGTCGAAGAGTGACAAAATCAATTTCTGTGATAAAAGTTTCTAGGTCGCAAGAAATTTGAGTATTCTAGGTACAATATCTTGTTATTCTCATGTATTTCCTCTTTGACTTTTTGTCATTCTCACTTTCCTGTTATCAAAATTTTCACTGCTTTGTAGAATAGAATCACACTACCCATCTTATAGCTTTTCATCCAAAATGTATTCCTATTATTGTTTTCTGCAGTCTTCCAAAATGATTGTTGTTACTTTATGGGCAAATTGGCAAACTTCACACTTACTTACATCCAGAGGTAGAGGAAATAGTCATCCATAATATTATATTCTTCTTTACAACTCTTTACAACTTTTTTGATTAAAAGACGTCTATTTTGTGACTTCTCTGGAACATATCATTGGATGCACAGGACCTGTGATAATAATGACAGACTAGAAAAACTTTATTTTTATCTGGGAAAGACACATACTGCATTATTTGATTATGTTTGAATTATTTATCAGATTAAGTGCAGGAATATTACCAGCTGCCACAACTTTCGTTGAATAAAATATTTAATTTCTGGTAGAATCCTAGAATTCTACTTAGTATTCAATGCTGTAATCTAAAAATTAATTGTGAAAGAGGTTTGTTTCATCGGGATGTGACCTTTGCTTGCAGCAAGTTTATGTGTTTTTCAGTCTTGTTCTTATGTTTTTCTTGTTATACTTTACATCCTCTGGGGGAGCACAAGTATGTCAACATGGTAAAATGTACATTCTATTTTAAATGATTTGGGATAAAGAATTCCTGTTGTCTACAGTATCCATAAATACATATATATTTTGCTTTGTATGTATTAGAGGGAATATTTCATATGGTGCAAGAACACAAATTTTAACAAATAAATGCATGGAAAATCTATTAAATTTTACTGCTTTCTTCCTGGTATAGCTCAGGCGCCTAGTATATATTTTCCAGACAAATACATTATAAAAGAAGCAAATGACAAGAGCTTACGAAAACAGAGGTTGCTGCCCCGTCTCATATAGACCCCTGCTCCGGAGCGTTCCGGGTTCTGGAAACTAGAGTCCTCCTGGAAACCACTTAAGTGCAGCAATTGCTGCACAAAAAGGAAACACACACAATCAGGAGTTATTTTCCCTACCCCAGCCAGAAATGTTCCATCTAGAGAACGTCTAGACTTTGAATAAGTCGAGACGTTCTCTATGAAGCATTTCTGGCTAGGCCAGGAGTGAATTTTTTGTAAATTTTTCTTTGTGTAGTTTTACGGCGGTCTGACAGTTTAAAGTATATATATAACATGATGTTCAAGATGCAGGAAATGTGTTGAAGACTTTAAGTTGAAATTTAATATAAGGCAATTGTCTCTGTCAGGCGGCAGGGCGCCTTGTAGGTATGCAGCCCATACTGCACCAAACCGAGCGGCCAAACGACTTCCCGTCCCGCAAGGTTTGTTTCTGCAAGGCTTTCCGGCTTGTTGAATCTGTGGCTGAGCGCCAATCCCGTTAAAAGTATAACACGATGTGTAGGCTGTTGTAGCGCTCAGTTCAATATAATTAGTGCCCGGTCTACAAATTTCACGACAGCCCCTGTTCTGAGAATTGCTGAATTTGTCATACTTGGAGAAAGGGAATATTATTGGTCTTCTGCTTGCTTCTGCTATGGGGTGGTTTTGACAGAAGGGGGTTAAAATTTCGAGGGTGCGCAGCAGGCGAGGAGTGTGTTTGTTTACTGAATTGTATTATTTCTTCAACAATAATTTTTGTTTTGGCCACCCCTTTTGCAGACATTCGCTCTCGTTGGTCGGTCGACGTCTATTTTTCGGACTCTGTTTGATTTGCTCCGTCAGTAACAGCACAACATGAGTCTCACGGATTCATTCATTTACATTATCAGGGATAATCCCGTTTCTCAAAGTACAATCCAAATAGCTTCCTCTGTGGTGAGTATATTGATGATAATTTCCTATTTTTCGGCCTTATCGAAGTAGATTTCAATTGCATAATATCGTTTTGAATGATCGGATGTGAAAATTTCTCTCTCATTGTTTTGCCAAACGTAACCTCAATGCAAGATAAAATTTGATGAGTGATGTCAGCATAGCTGATAGGCCTACACAAAACTGTATAAATATTTATGTATCTCTGCTGTTCCAAATTTATTGCAATCCGCCAATCCATCGCTACGATTTATTCTTTTTCCTTTGCAGTTAAACAAAGTTGGAGGTTTGATACCTGTCCCTAAACCAAAAGAAACTCTTCCTGCACTCATGACTCCAGCACCTTTACCTCAGCTTTTTAAACTGGTTGGGTACAGTGGTCTTTTTATTCGATTGGCTGGTTTATCTGGAGCTGCTGCAGTTGGATTGGGTGCATACGGAGCTCACAGTACGTTCCAAAGGATATCTATCTTGTTGAAGAGACAGTAGTTGATAAAGTTTGTTGTATTCAACTTTTTTCCCCTTAATGTTTCTACATTCTTTTTTCTTGAATGTTTTGTAGGTATAATGAACGAAGAGGGAAATGAGCACAGGAAGCGTGTATTTGAAACAGCTAATAAGTATCACTTCTATCATACCATTGCTTTATTAGCTGTCCCATTGTGTCATTATCCCTTAGTGGTAAGTGTGCATTTTGTGTGTGAAACATTACAACTTTATTTCACCTTAATTTTAGTGCTTGACTTCAAAACTTCTTCTTGAATTCTAGACTGGTGGGCTGTTGACTGCTGGTATGCTAATGTTTTGTGGGCCATGTTATTACATGTCCATTACTGGCAAAGATCAGCTGAGAAGATTAACTCCATTTGGGGGTGTCTGTTTGATTGTTGGTTGGATGACCATGTTAATTTAGAAGTAAATAATTTGTATTTATTATCACCAATTGCTTTCCACTCTTGTAGATTCTTTGATGTTAATGGCTGAAGTTAAAATCCGTAATCAGGTAGTGTTTTGCTCTTAGGCTTCAACTTGATCAGTAACTATGGTACTTATTGCAACCAGCTCTTTGCATGTAACAGGAAGGTATCAATAGGAGGGTATTCAAACCAACAGAAATGCAAATGTACTTACAATCCAAGGAAATAAACCTTTAATTCAGTTCCATTATCGCTTTATTTTCCTTAAATGGAAGATAATAGTTGTATTCTTTTAAACCATACACACATTCACAACTAAGTTCAATTTTTTATCCATACAAATAGTTGGAGATTTTGTTTGAGGAACTCCAAATACCTCAAAGAAAAAATGAAAGTAGTTTAAAATTAAAATATAAGGGTAGTCTTATACTATCACATCAAAAGCTGTGTTGACCATGATTTCTGAGGTCATGGATTCAATGCAGCCAGCTATTACAACAGTTAAATGCATCATAAAAAAAGTAATTTCACTAGCATTAAAATGTAGAACCACAGCAACCTTATGCAAAGTACAGCTTGCACAATTGCACAACGCTGTCAACATACAACAAAAAGAAAAAGTCAAGACTTTGAATAGAGGAAATCACATGTTAAACACACTCTTTAAAGACTTCAGAAGTCGCAATTCACAAATGCTAGACAAGACGAAATAAACTGATTAGGATATGGTGGGAATTTAACAAAAAGTTACTATTTATCAAAACTTTTCAGTGCTGACGTTTTCACGAGGCAAGGTACTTCAATTGCAAATAATTATTTATACAAATTATAAACATAAATATATACACAGATGCATATATAGTTATGTATAAGCTTGGCTACACAATGTGTAAGCCCCATGGTAACTGAATGGTGGATTATTGAGCTTCGACTATGACAGGTGGAATGAATGCTGGCCTTCTTGAGCTGCCAGGTTAAGCTTTGCACGCATGACTTCCACAGAACTATAGTCTGGTAGCTTAAGGTAGTTCACACAGGTCATCACAGATGGAAGGAAGTCGTCTGGATTCATATTTGGTTCTAAGGTTTTCCTTACAACAGTTAGGGGTGGAGACAAGCTCTTGAAGCCTGCAAATTGAAGGGAAGATCAAGGAAATAGTACATTATCAAAAGGCAAGAAAACAAGGTAAATAACTGAGCTGATCACAATCAAACACCTACCTCCAACGGGAAGACGAGGAGACCCAGTAATGAACTGTAAAAACTGACGCTGTTCATGTGGCGTGTATGAACTAAGTACCTCAAAGAGGAAACGAATTGCTCGGGAATCAGCAGTGTATCCATGGTCCAGCCGACAACACTCCATTAACATTTTGATATCCCATGCTGTTAAAAAAAAGCAATAGCAAATCAAGATGGTGCAATACACACACATTGTCTGTATTTTACAAGAGAGAATCATGACTTACGAGAATTTTGAGAATTAGATCCCTGATTCGAACCACAAAAAATCAATTCCAATTCCTCTGGGTAAAAGAGCCGAAGGTGTGACAGAGGGAAGACTGTTTCAAACCCTTCTCTCAGGGCTTCCATTTGCCTTGAAACACCTTCGACTAGGAACCAATGCACAACAAGCTGAAAGCAAACAAAAGACAGATCTATTAAGATTTCATTTCATGAAAACATTAACAATTTAAAGGTAGTAAGTGTACCTTGCAGTATTCATCTAAGTTGTGAGGTGTAACTGTAATGTCTTTTCCACCCTTTCTCAATTCTATATTACTACTACCAGGAAGAGTTAAATCCAATCCCAAGTCCGCAATGGGACAACCATCCAATTCCAAACGGTCAGTTGCTTCCATAATCTGAAACAAATGTAATGAGATGTTATCTTTCGCCCCAAAATAAATTGAGGAAAGATCAAAGATACCAACCTGTTGAACTGTCATATCAGGGCTGCCTTCTAAAGTTTCTTTAGTTCTCAACACTCCTTGAAGCTGAACTAATGTACGGTGTACAGATGGGCACACATGCTGCAAGTCAGGCAAACTCAAAGTTGTTTCTTGACCTAGCAGCCAACGGTACAAGGACTCACTGAGAGGCAAATCTAGCATGCGTGAATCCATGACTGCTTTTGCCATTAATTTGCCAAGGAACCTAAACTTTGATTTCACCTGCAAAATAAATATAACCAAATTTAGATTGTGAAAAAAAAAAAAGAAAAAAAGAAACCCCTTTAAGAGAGAGAGGGAGATTTATAAACCAACATTCAAGTCAATAATACCTTTGCCACATGAGATACTTTAGTTGTGCGACCAAACGGTGAAGGGAATAATCCAACAGGTGAATGAGTATAACTTGGAGATGATTCAGTTGCTGGTATTTTATCTCCATACCACAATTCTAGGTCTGCTCTTTGAAGCTCCCTTGACACCAAAGCATAGAACTCGAGTGTGGGACCAAGTCCAGTGCCAACCTATTGGACAAAATCCAATATTATTAAGTGAGAATGTGTCTTTGCAAACGTTCCACCACAAAATAGAAATATCTTACCTCATTTTCATATTGAATTTCAACAAGAGCTCGAGAAGTAGCAAGGTCCTGGAATACTTGCTCAGCTTGCTTTAGAATGTCATCTCGGGAGACTGTTCGCTTACGGCGATCCAGACGCGGTGTTACACGTTCTTGGCTGTCAGAACCACTTAGCTCAGGACTAGAATCAAGTAGACGTTGTAAAGCACGATCTCGGTCAAAGCAAGTGACATACAACAAAAGTTGTCTTGTTTCAAATGGGAACAAAAATGGGCTGGAATAGAGAAAAGAAAACATTGAAATATTTTATGACAAAATTCAAAATGGTGCATAATTTTCAAGGGAAAGAAGGGTTATACCAGGTAACTGCAATTTGTTGGAGCCATGGTGGGAGATTACCAGTCATAATAACTAAGGGATCTTGAAGTTGTCTGCTTGCTTTAGCTGCAACTTTGCTGTTCACAAAGTCCTGGAAAAATACAAAGACAATGTCAGTTCTGTCAGAAAACTCTTGCAAACTGATCAAGGTATAAAGCATTCTGGTAAAGCTGATGCAGAAGAATGCATGGAACAAGAAAACAGAAGTGACCATGTTATAGAAAAGCGATTTCAGTTTTCCTCCTCCCGCACTCTGCTGCGTTTCAGCTTTACCAGGATGCTTGATTGGGCATACCTGCTGTGTGATAATTGGTTTGTAGGTTATGAAAGGGTAAAGTGTGCCCCAGTTGCGATTTAAAGCATTGAGGACTCTTAATAAACACAACACAGACAAAGAAGCATCCTGAATTGTAACAGAATCTGGCAACTGAGTGGTAAGGAATGCAAGAAGAGGCGATTGAACTATTGGTGGACGACCTTCATTCCAAAGCTCATCAGTCTTTTTGCGTGCTTTAGAGCTACTACCCTTCCCTTTCCGTCCAGAGTTGGAAGAATTTGATACATGAGATGAAGAGCAGCTAGCGTTTGGACGAATTGTTGCAGTGGGTGGATCATCATCAGGCACAGGTCTGAAAAACAATAAGAAATTTGGAAAGTAAGCTTCCTCAAAGGCATTTTTAACTGCACAGAACCACAAAACTTCTTAATTAACACACTCTTACCGATAGTAAATTGTGTGTGTTTGAACCCAAACACCCGCATTTCCTAAAGGAGCTTCCGTATCAGTATCAGTCTCTGACTGATCATTTAAAGCAGCTGGACTAAACTGTCGCACAGCCTGATACACTGTCATGTTGTAAGGTAAAATATGTTCTCCTAACAAAAACTGCAGCTTATGGCGGGCAGAGCCTTGACTTATAACTACAGCAGCCTAAAACAACAATGCATGATAAAATATGAGACAAAATCAATCAAGAAACTACTGTACAAACATAGTTGCCAGCAGATGTACAGTGTTAATTTAAATGCTGTGACTGCTTACAAGTGTGTCATCAATGTCATCTTCACTGTTTTCTTCATCAGAATCACCAGTATCTTTGTCTCTCAAGCGACCATAGCCCCTCACTACCAGATAGCGCTCTATTGCTTGTACCAACGCTAGAGGATCAATTTTGACTGTGCCACCCTTCCATTGTTTCAAGTTTTGACAATCTGGATGTCTCTGTAGGTTGCACTAAAAAACAAAAAGAAACGGAAAATAAGAAAGTAATTGACAGTGCATTTAAAGAATGTTCTTCCAATTTCAATAAATACCTTGAGCTGATGGGTGTTGAAGAACTTCAAAGCAGAAGTACCTGCTCTCCCAGTGCCTGTTCCTGCAGGTAAATCATGTACTTTGACAGGGAATTGTTCCAGTTGAGACACACAACCACTAAGTTTGTTAACAAGAGCTGAGAAGGGTGCAGGATTCCAATCTGGAGGATACCCGCTCCAACTTTTATCCAACTAAAATATAAAAGATAAAAATAAGGACAGTGGAAAATACATCACCAAGAAACACACAAGGAAATGTAAACAACTTACCGGACATCCTGCAAATACATGAAGAAAGCATCGGAGACGTTGAGCATGGTCAAAGTGCAATACTGTTGCTCCTGTAGTAGTGGCTGTTTCATCAGCTAGGTACTGCAGCAAGGCTTTTATGAGACCAGAATGGTTCACTTCAAATGGTGAAACATCTGACTCAAGTAAGATACCTCTTAGTTCAGAAAGGGCTGATAAGCTTTCATCACGCTGAAAAACATCAGTTGAGTGAGGACATACAGCAAGGAAGGGATAGAAAATGGTTAAGATCAGTCCTTTCATTAATGGGCTGACATACCTGATGGTTTAATTTATGAATTGCCTGGGTAAGGCGAGTCAAAATGTCAGTTGCTGGATGCATTGGCCCATTGTTCTCCATTCTACAGTGCGTTTCCAAGAAACGAGAAGATTGGTCACGCACCCAAGTTCGTGCTTTTTCTCTGTTTCCAGCTGTGAGGTTAGGATTGGAAGACGACTTGGACAGTTGGATGTCCTAAGAGGGAAATTAATTAGTAAGCAAACCTTTAGAATAAGTTAAATGATAGATTTTAAAAAGTATTTACCTTGAAAGCCCTCTCAGTCAAAGCAGGATTCACACTACGACCCCAGCGAGCAGGGTTTAGACTAGCAAGGAAGCTTTTAGAAGATCCTCCACTAAATCTTGATCTAGAGGTGCTGTTAGGAGTTGATCTCCCAGAGTTACTCAATGAAGTAGCTATAATCATCGCATTAGTGTTAATTAGATTAAATGAATTTATCAATGAGTAAAGTATCCATTGCACACGATTGTATGTTTACCTTTGGTGAAGAGGTCATGCACCATTGACGATGTAAGATTACTGCTGTCATCTTGACGAGTTTTACGGCTAGATGGCCCAACAGCACGTTTTTGGTTTTGTCGTTTGCGTTTCAAAACATCACCCAACCGTCTACAGTTGAAAAAATTGAATATTTAATTCCTTCATTTTGTTAAAATGCTGTAACTACAGTATTTACAGTGAAATATCCTTCATAATCTACTTACAATTGTGATGGACTTGAAGTACACGCGTCATCTGAAGAAAGGAGAGGCTCTGGCCGTTCATACCGTGGCATCTGTGATGTAGGGGGTGAAGATCCCAGGAGAAGGCTGGCTCCTCCATCTACAAACAAAAAGTCTTCAGTGAGCTATCAAAATAAAAATAAATGTTAAATAGCAATGTTAAAATTAGAAGTTGTTAAACATACCCAGAAATGGTAAAAGTCCATTGGAGCTGCTTGCACTAGGACCCGCTTGCAAAGAGGTTGAAGATCCACTAACACTTACCAAAGTGCTAGTGTTTGAAGCGCAAAGAATAGGCATACTGTAGCTGGAAGTTGATGCTGATGAGCCTGGAGCAGAAGCTGAGGTACCTGGTTGCTGACTATCAAGAGAATTGAATGGAGCTGGAGGTAGAGGAATGGTCTGTTCAGAATTGAACACATCTGCTGATGGATTGCATGTCCGACTTGTGTGCGGTATAGATGCAGGAGTGCATATAGCGCTTTTGGGTGGTGATGAACCAAGAGGAACAGTAGGGTCAGCAAGTAATCTTATCTGGTGCATCACACCTAAATATGAGAATATGGAAAAGATGAAATTTAGTCTAGAAATCATAAATAGATTCATACACATAAATACAGAAGAAATGACTCAAAGTACCTTCCCGTGTGAAGTGCGTCCCAAATACATGAGGTAGCTTTGTCATTAGTATATCTGCCATTTGAAGGGCACCAACAACAATGCGTAGGTCTTGAGAAGCCATCATACCAGCTATATGACTTGAAACAACCTGATTCTTCAACACATCCTGCAGAGAGACAAATAATAAGCAAACTCAAAATTTTCAAAAAAATCTTTTGAACAGCTTATATTTATTTTCAGATATCCTCACTTTTAAAAGATCAGCAGAGGCATAATAGACCATGCGTAACAGGGCCCGCAGACATTTAACCCTAACTGATGGCCCAGCAGAGGAACTGTACACTTCATAGAGAACACTGAATAGGGAACGTATGAAGGAAGCAGCAAGGCCTCGTTCTTCTCTCATACATGCTACTCTTACATCGTAACTGATAATGTAAACAGCAAACAGAAAATAAATTAGTTCATGATAATGAGCACACATTTAAAGCCAGAACAGACAGATAAGTATAATTACTCACCCTGATGAGAAGTTACTTGGATTGTTGGAACCAGAGGTATCAACACTGTCTGATGATGCACTCTGAGCCCCTGGTGAAGCTGGAGTACTGGCAACAGTTGCTGGTGAACTACACAAGGTTGGTGGACTCAATCGACGCTGCACTGGTCTTGTCGTGCCTGTATCTTCGTTTATTTGTTGCATAGAATGTAGATCCACAGTGTATGTACGACCTAGCATGGTAAGACTAATTTCATCTTCACCAGTCAAATGTGCAGCTTCAATTATGCGAGAATCTATGCTGCTGTAGGCATGCCAGAGGCCACGGTCATCTTTCCACTGCCATTGAACAGTATCTTGCACTTGACCCTGAGGGCGGTCAAGAAGAGCATCTACAGAGAAAATTCCATCTGATGGTAGTCTAGGCATTAATTCTCCAATTAAACAAGTGATTTCGTAAAGTTCTTGAGGACTTCTAGTGACAAGTTCAACCTTTAAAATAAAAAAAAAAAGCATAAATAGAAATTAGTGGCATAAATATAAATAATATCAAATCATCAAGAAGTCATCTCAGTCAAAACATACTTCATCATTTGAAATTTCACCAGATCCAGTCAGCAGATACAAAAGAGTTTCTGCAATGTTTTGCCGTAGTAAAGTAAGTGCCAAGTCCGGGCAATTGGCACACATAATTGATAACATTCGAAGCACTGTGATGAATGTCCCAGTGCTTATTACTGGAGGAGATACCACCAACTGAAAAGTGTTGATTTGGAAGTCAGAACACAAGCTAAATAAATAATCCAACATTCATTGAAGGGAAGAATTTGTTTGCATCTGGCAAAAGTTAACTTCCAAACAGAAATTCTTGAGACCATGTGAAGTCCAAAAATAAACATTCCAGGTAACTGAGGATGTTCATCTTATGGTGTGCACATGGAAACAACATTTTCAGGAAGGAACTTTTACCTATGCAGTCCACAATTTGTCTACCAGTGCAAAGGACTAGCATCGGATATATGGGATCTCGAGTCTAGGGTGACACTGGGTCGGTAGCTTCATTTAAGTTACAAAAACTTTTGTGTCCTTACCAGTTGTTGCAAGTTTGTAAGGAGTTCAGGACTTGCTATTTCTTGTAGCTTCTCTGGCACATTTTGAAAGCTATCAACTAAACGACTGAAAGCTAGACAGACACTTTCAACACTTTTCTTGTCCTGAAAATAAGCATATTTCAATCATTATTGAAGGTATATTGCAAGACCTTTAATGAAAACAAAGTCTAGTACATAGTAGTTGATAATTACCTGTTGGACAAGACGACCCGCTAGTAGAGGCAATGATTGAGAAACAAAATGAAATTCATCTGCATGGAGGTTTTGACAGCAATTTGCTGTTACACATAAAGCCGCTCTTTGAGCATTAATGCTGAAGAAATCCAGATACATAAGACAAGCTTCCACACCTCGCTAGGAACAGATTGAGAAACAAGGTTAGGTGATCATTTGTTGTTTTAATAATTGTAATAACCACTTTGATTGGTGACTCAATTGAGCTTACATGTTGCAGGATAGATTTGCTGTGACGTCTTGAGAGCATCTCTAATGCAGTCAGAGACTGTTCAGCAACATCCATGCATTGAATAACTTGCAATTTTTCTAAAAACACTGGAACTGCTTCAACAACCGCTGCAGACGATCGTGGTAGAGCTTCCATCATGTATGTCAGGGCCCGACATGCATGATTCATCTATTTCAATAGGATCATTAAGTATAAACAGTCCATTTACTTGTAACAGTAGGAAGGTAAATAAGACACTTACTATGTCAAAATTATGATCCATTGTGAGAAGAGCTATAAGGGCTGGCACCACTTGCTTTACTGGGAAGCCCGCAAGAGTGTCTTCATTGCCCATGACTAACATCTGACACATTTCAATTACTGCTTGCAGTTGTTGTCCTTCATCTCCCACTGCTTGGAGTCCAGTTAGTTGCTGTTGTGCTTTGGTTGCAGCTGAAAAAGAATTTGGGCATAGTTAGAGCAAACTATTCAGCATATAAGGCACACAGTAATGTTGATAAACTAAGCTCCTTCATATGTCTCAAAGATATCACTACTCCTGTTAAATTACCTGAGTTGGCTCCCATGCTGCGGTGCAGTAGGTGTTGCACTCGAGGACCCAAGGCACCAAGGAGATGTGGTGGCAAACCTCTTGCTTCCAACAATGCTTGCAGCCGTCCTACTTCACTATCATCACTTTCACTGTCCACAGCAGCACCTGTGAGGCCAGAGGGACCTCCAGCTGCTGCTGGTGTTGTACTGCTTGAGCCTAGAGAGGAACAGCATTTCAAAACTGTCAGGTCCCTAGGAAGCCAAATTGATGACAGATTTGAAAAGATAAGTTGGTAACCTACCAGGCGTTCCTTTGGCGGTATCATCCCCAACAGGCACTCCATTTTGTGAACCACTAGCTGCATCATGGTGACCCTGGCCTGAGGACATCCCCTCTGCAGTGGTTGATGTCGCACTGGAGGGCAGGGGGAGCTTCCCTGTCCGGGACGTCCGCCGGCTGCAATACATATGTCATATTTCAATAAATAAAACCTAACTACAAAACCAAATTATAGTAGAGCCCACAACAGGAAAGATATGAAGAGCTCACCTTGTGCTAGCACAGGACCCCGTGTTGGCTTGGCTCCTGGTGCTTCGTCTTAACACCGGCCCACCACTGCCACTGCTGCCCTCCACACCTACTGCTGCGCTCCCTGCAGCCTCCTCCTTCCCCTTGACCCCTGTTGCGTGAGAGGTACCTGCATATCCAAAAAAAATATTTATCAAAACAAGAACACAATATTTCTTTCCATTACAAATTACATTTCCTTAACAGCTTATTATTTAGAGTGTTAAAAAGGCAACAGCATTGTTAAAATTAAAAACAGACATATTGAGTGTCTAAGTCTTAAGTCAGTCAGCTCAACGCAACTCACCCAGATTTTTGGTTGAGTCTGTCCCAACTTTAGCCCTCTTCCGAGGCACAGCCCTACTGCTCGGGGGCGAGGCGGCCGCCGCCTTGCCTCCACCACTCCGCAGCGTGTACTTTCTACCCGAACCTAAGATAAGGCCAACAATCAGCATACAATGCAACGCTTTCCAAGCAAGAATATACACAACCAGGTGCCAATGTGCTAGAAATTTATGGTAGTATAATAAATGTCACTAAACTCAAAAATCATTTGTAAAAGAAGAACATATTCAAGTCTTATTAGAACTCTTTGCTAAAAATGCCCTATTCTATTACCTTACAAGTGTAAGGATAAATCGTTAATTTTTGAAAGATTGTACTGTATTCTATAAGTACAATATGGCACATAGTTTACACAATCACTTTGTAGATAGAAATTGACAAAATGAAATAAGTAGACTTGTAAGTGTCTCAAAAGGGAGCAATTGAGTAGCATAGATAAAAAAAACTCTAATTGCACATTTACTATTTAATAATTTTATCAGATAATTCATAATACTATTTCATCAAATAGTTAACTTTTTAAAAGGGAACTCTTTTTTGTTTAGTAATATAATGGAAAAATGTAGTAGTGCTTGAGTGGACTGGATATCAAGTGAAAACGGAATCTGATCAATATCCACCAGAAATACGAACTGTGAGTATGTGAGCACACTCCAGCCTGAAAATATAATTTTCTTATCTAAAACTGTGTTATTTTTAAAAAGATTTCCATACTTTTCCCTACTATTTAACATTTCCGAGCCTTGCCCAAGTTTTTGCCGTTAAAGGCTAGTAAACTAATGTTTTCTGCAATATTTTCTCAAATGTTGGTTGTACATATACTAACTACTTTAATTGCATAGATACTTGGAAACTTAAGAAGCAAAAATGCCAATCATGGGATTTGTAGGTTTGAATTTTAAATTATGATTATAATGGAAATGCCATGCATCTAACCTGAGTAAAATTCTACATGACAATGTGTTTGGGTCTGAGAATGAGGAGCAGCATGCACACCACACAATCTTATATCTCACCTGAACCAGACGATTCTGGAGCAAATTCCCTTTTGCGGCTGGCTCTGTTGCTCTTAGTACCAGTATGTGAAGATACTGCTGAGTTGTTGGCTTGTGTAGGACTAGAGGTGTCCTGGACAGTCCAGTTATGTGATGTGCTAGCAGTCACACTCTCGGTAGGGGTTTCTTGTGTGCTGCTAGACCGAGATGCCCGTGACCTGCTACGGCTTTTGGATGTCGATCCCTGAGCAAGATGAAAAAATTGTTTCAGAGAGATTCTACAAAGAAATGGGTGAGAAAAAATTGAAATGGAAAGCAACCTTTTTTCTTTGGGACTTCGATTTGGAGGTTGAGCTGTCTGCACTTGCGGCACTTGCAGCACTTGCTTTAGGTGTAGGAGCTTTAGGCTTTACAGGTGCACTACTTTGATTTCCTGCTGAACGTCGAGAGCGAGAGCTGGACTTTGATTGACATCCACTTCCAGAGACACTTGTTAGATAGTCTGTAAATCCCAAAATAAAAGTTAATTTATTAATTTACACCCACCTTGAAAAACTAAGATTGATTTTTAGAAAATAGTGAGACAAACCTCTTTTGGAAGCTTTGGTAGAGGCACCACCAAGATTAGTAGCTGAAGAGGTTGTTTTACTAGAACTAGCTTTGGTTTCAGCTACTTGCTCGGAATTACGCTCTCTAGATGCACTCCTCCTGCTATAGGAATAATAAGAGTGACCGTAAGTTTTGTTAAAATAGATAAGTTCAGATTGAATTGAATAATAGTTTAAATGCCCAAACCTTTTGGCAGAAGAACTACTAATATTCGCCTGATTAGCACTGGAGGATGACGGACTGTCCTGAGGTTGAATATCTACCTCTACTGAAGCCAATGATCCAGCCCGTCCTGATTGTTCAGAAGGCACTGAGGAATTGCTCTCTTTCCTAAGATAACAAAGACACATTCTATTAAAATCAAATAATTTAAGAAAAACAAAAAGTGAGAAAAATGTACATTATTCTCCTTAAAAGTGCAATAAAATTGTAGCCTCTAAAAAATAGAATATACCTTCTTGTGGCACGGCCTCTTCCTCCTGCCGGGGCGGTGGGCGCCGTAGTGGCTGTGGAGCCCGAGGCCGAGCCCGTGGCGGAGGCAGAGACCGTGTGGCTGCTTGTCGACTCTTTTTCCTTACGCCCCTGACGACCGCGCTTTCGCCGCGATGACCAACGGTCGGGAGACGAAGATGTACTCCCGCCGGAACTGGGGCGCTTACGGCTTCCCTTTCGCCTGCTCCTAAGAAATTGGAAAAAAATAAATGTGACACATATTTTGCTGCAACACATTTGTATCATGTAGGGCAATTTACAAGGCAATATATGTAAACATAGATAAGCTACATAGCATTCATAGAACTGTCAATAATCTTACATGGTGGACATGTCACAATGTTCAGGAAAACATGTTATAAATAATATGTGTGGAAAGTTTTAGAAATACAATTATAGATCGGACCAGTTGGTGCTACTGCTTTTAATACTGCAAGAAATTTCATGGTATTTAAGATTGAGAGTGGAGAGCTCTAACAATGGTACATGTTGATTAGATGGTATGATTCCATGACAACCAAAATGTTGCTTCAGAGATAAGAAAATTGTACTTGAGGGATTATTGATATCAGAAAGACAAGTGGACAAGTTCTAATACTTTGAGGAACAAGATGAAGTTAGATGGACATTAAGACAGTTGTATGCAAATGGTGCGAAATAATACATGATGGTAAAAGTTGACTGATATAAACAATGTATTAAGTTTGGTGACACAATGTTAACATTAGATTAATTTAGTTCCAACAAAGTAGGTAAGTAATTGAAAAATCGACTTTCACACATACCTGGATGAGTTGGTACCCCCAAGAGCTGTGTTAAGAGATTCCGACCCCCCGAATACACAGTTAGGTTGCTCGGCCATAGACGCTCCTCATCTGCTCAGTCATGCCACGATCAATATGCCTAAAATGATCAATCATAAGAAAATAAAAATTAAATTCTCAGACAATAGCACCAAAGATGTCAAATGCATGACACCAATAGTAATTTTCTTAACTCAACAGATACATGTAACTACTCTGCCAAGTATGGGTGAGGCCCACACAATTCAGAATCAGAACTTCTGAAGTTTAACATTTTTAAGATTAACAAAAATGGACAGATATAAAGCAGCAGTGACCCCAAAATCATAAAAAAGGAATATAAAACCAAAATGTGCTGAGAAGTGTAACATGAAATACCAAGTAGTTCCAACTAGCAACTTCTCTGGTGATGAATAATGACAATGTATTTGTTTCTTCTAAATAAATAACAGTTTGAGTAGAGAGAATACATTTTAACCAAGGAAATGAAATCAGAAACAATGCTGTGCGCGGCATTGTTTAAGGAGGGCAAAAAAACTTGGCTCGCTAATCATCATATTTTGGTGATGGGGGCACACACTGATACTCCCACATTGTATTTTTTTCGAACGCAGTTACTCCCCCACACAACACGAACTGGAGAAACGAGATAACCTCGACAAGATTTGTTGCCCTTTGCAAACAGGCATTCGCCCAAAAATGGAAATTAATAAAAATTTGTGAGACTGCTTTTTGTCAATTTTAGTCGCACGAAGTGCGATAAGGAATATAACGAGTGGCTGTTCTTGACGTGGTCCGTAAAATTATGATAGGGCGAAAGTCTTATCACAGTAGCAAATGATAAGGCACCAGAAGCAAATGCTGCTTAGGTTTAATGCATGGTGTTGGAGTTTATTTCGTTGCAACAGGAAAAAGGAATTGCAAGTTGGAACTTGTCTAACGGGTTATTTTTGTCTCCAACTTCCAGGCCAAAATCGATCACCAAGCTTTTCTCTCTCGAGGCAATAAATGTTGAATGGTCGGGCTTACAATAAAGAACGAAGTTTAAGTCACAACTACAAACTAAGCAAATTTAGCACAATAGCACTAGTTAAGAAAAATCAAGTGCTTATGTTTCGGTTGCAACGCAGACAAAAGGAGTCGCGATCCACCATTACAGAATATCATCACAAGGCTTCCGTGGCTCAATTGACTTTCAACGATAACTTCATTCTGGCATCGATTCAAGGTAAACTTTGTAGCTCCAACGATAGCCTAAATACCAGATAATAGGAATTTAGTACCTAAAGGACTTCCAGATCCCTAGAGTGGGAAATTCTCGAGTTATTTCACCATTGCACTCAACTTAGCCGAACGCCAGGAATCACTATGCCTGCACCAGTGCCCCGTGCCCCTTCTTCTTTTCCTTCCAACCTAAAGAAATAGTCCCCCTATAAATGTCGTATCTAAAGCAAATTTTTCGGTAACCAGTGTGCAAAACGAAGCAAGAAATAAATAAAGGAAACTTTTAGAATCGAATTTAACCGATGAACTGAACAAATCTATCACAGTATTAATTATTTACGAATAGCATCAACAGCTGTTCGTGGATCCGCACAGTATCCTTACGCTCCACCTTCATGGCCTTCCCGCGAAATTCAAACGTGTGATGTAAGCTGCGTCCAGATACGTTTGCAAGAGATACGTGGGTGTCTTGTCTTGGGTACCTAAGCCTCAGCTATGCAGCGGGGGGCAGACACCCACGTAACTGGACGCAGCTGCCTTACAAGGTACAAAATTCGAACAGCAGGCAAGGCGACGGTCTAAGCGACGGTATAGTCCTTGAGTGGGACATAACGCCACGCAAGTGACGTTAAAATGGCACAGAGACTACAGCTTTTGGTAGCTTTTTTTTTTTTTTTTTTTTTTTTTTTTTTTTTTTTTTTTTTGCGTATTACAGACAATTTACTTTTTCAGCAGTGAAAATGTTTTGGGTTTGATTGAAAGAAAAATTTGAGGAAAGGTCAAGGAGAAGTATTAAAGACTTTTAATATTTCACTCCAAACACAACATATTGTATACATTTTCAAGACCACCTCTCGGTCCATAGATTAGCTTGTAGTGTAACTGTTTACATCAATTAATATTGTAGATGGATAATTTTAAAAGGTACATTTTTCACAATACATTGAGTTAATAATCAAAATTAATAAAATCTGACATGTAAATTGACTTGAATTGTTAATCCTACAATGACACAAAAAAATCAACTTAAAGAAAAATAAGATAGCACAGAACATAAGGATACAAAAAGAGAGAAATCAAGATTGATACAAAAACAACACAGCTTTTATTCATACAAATTTTCACACAAATCAATGCAGTAGATTTACTTTTCACATAGTGTCTGAATCACATGGACCATACAACAGTTGCCTCAGTTCCAGACCAGATTCTAAATCCTCATCATTTTGACCTCCAGCAAGAGAGAGGTGCCTCATTTGGGTGGATGGCGATGGTACATTGTCTGAAGGCGACATTACCATGGACAATATATCTTGTAAAAGATCGATATTGAAATCTGATGATGATGATGGAGGAGTTGACTGAGGTAAGGGAGAAGAGTCTAAATTGTCATGGGATTCGCACAAGGTAGAAGGACTCTTATCTAGCTGTAGATCTGGTTTGACAGTGGAATTAGGAATAACTTTAGAAATGACTTTGCACTCTGGAGGTTGAACAGAAGAAAGAGTCATAAAATCTCTGGCTTGTGAATCATGGAAAAGATTGTGACAGTCTAATGAAAGTTGATGCATGAGAGAGGGTTGGATCCCAGCATTCTGACATTTGCTAACAGAAATAAGGTTGTTGTCCTTACTTTTCAAAAGAAAGTGGTTATCCATCTGATCTTTGTTTAGTAGTGAATGATCTTCATTAGGCTGTGGAAGCTGTTCTTTTATAGGACGTTGGGATTTGTTTTGTCCAGGTTGGTTTGAAGTTTGCAATCCTCCCCCAGTCTCGGCCTGGATAGTAAAAGAGCAGATAGAGAAAGGACTTTTAATGGATTGATTGATTGATTGATTTATTGGACCGAAAGAGGAGTACAATGTTATTGCAAGTAAAGTCTAAATATGATCAATTTACTAACCTCTTTGCTGGAAGACTGCAACAGCTGTTGTAAAAGATCATTGGATGGAGACGCAGCATCACCTGAGGACTGAACAACACATTTGTGTGTTCTCTGACTCACCTGATTGTGAGGAAGAAATGAGATACAGGTCACACTCTAATAATGAAGTACACAGCACAGACATCTAACTGGAAAAGTACAGTGAGATTTCTTACCTTGTAGCGGAAACTTTTTAAGCACACTGTGCACTGGTACGGCATTGCTCCTGTATGTATCCGCCGATGAACGAGGTAAGATACTCTCTGCCTAAAACACTTCCCTGAAAATCACATTTCAAAAATATTAAGAAACTATAATTTGTCAATAGTTTTAGGATTCATTAAAAGCAAACAAACATGCAATGGGAATTCACCTAACTTTTCTCCTTAGTGATGAAATCATAAGTTTTGTTAGAAAATCGATTAAAGATAACATTCTGTTACTTAACAAAACAGACAGTTAATTCAATAAGGTCCTTCACAATGTTAGATTAAACACACAAAGTAGCAATATCTGCAAAACAAAGTCAATAAATTAGAGTACATTTGATCAAGCACACAGCAAATAAAAACATTGGCTGGATCAATCAAAATGAGCGTTCTGTTGAGATACAAATCATACGAGAGAGAAACAATTTCTGGTACATTCAAAATGCTTTCTGGAGCAAAAAACAAAATAAATCACCAATACAATTTTAGAAAATAACTAGATTAATTTTGTTTCATGAAAGCAAAGCTGACTTTTGGTGTCTTGCCACACAAGCATGCTGGTTGTCTCAAGGATTTATTATAATCAATTGCCATGAAGGTGAATCACATTAAATGATAAGACAAATAAGGTTATCACAATAATTGAAGACTGACCACATGTTTCACACGCCCAAGGCTTTTCTCCGGTGTGAATTCTTTGATGATTATGCAAGGTAGACAATTCCTTAAATGCTCGTCCACATTCACTACAGGAATGTGGTTTCTCATCTGAATGATATAAAAGGTGCTTGTGATAGGATTGCTGAAATGTGAATGACTTGTTGCATATGCCACATGTATATGGCATTTCACCTGAAAGTTTAGTAGAACTTAGTAACTCACTGCAAATACAATAAGTTCGACAGAATAACACTATATGAAAAGCTTAACTTTCAATAATCAAGTTAACTAACCAGTGTGCAAGCGTTTATGCTTTTTCAAGAAGTATTTTGTAGTGAATGATTTAAAGCAAACATCACATTCCCATTGCTTACTATCATGGGATTTTAAATGTTGAAGAAGTAACGTTTCCTTAAAAAAATATTAAAACATTAGCATTGAGAACATTTTACCCAACTGATTCATATACTAAAAACTCTATAAAATCCAATTCAATTGGTTCACATTATAGGCTTGGCATGTGCAATACTGATTTAAAATACAAACCTTTGAATAGGTTTTATTACAAAGATTACATGGAAATATATTTCCAACTGACTCAATATGCCCAGATATAGATGAACACCTTGTAGGCGAGAGTAACATGGCTGACACTCCATTGTCACTTAAGTTCGAATCATTTGCAGGTCCCTTATTAGATATGATACAATCTTGTACCTGGTTATGTTTATGGGACGGGGAAAGGCTTTGAGGCATGAGGTCAGTTGATTCATGTAATATTAAGCCATTGTCTGTTCTTCTTTCATGCCCACTATTGGCTATACTTTCATCTGCAGTGAAGGAACATGAACTTTCTTGAATGCTAAGATTCTGCAAGCATAACTTGCTTGTCACATCTGGCGGAGAGTTTAAGGCTGTGGAAATACCTCCGAGTTGACAAGCCAAGCCAGCTGGAAATGTGAGTCAAAAATTTATACATTAGTAAGAAAGAATTTATATACAGCAGGAAAGAAATGGGATCCATATTGTCAACAGACAGACACATACTTGTTCCATTAGGAGAATGTGCCACCCGTAAATGTACCATTAAACTGCCACGCATGCGAAAAACTTTATTGCATATGTGACATGGAAACCTATGAAGAGAACTATGCACATGTTGATTGGCAACATTTGTCCTTCTGGATCTAGTTAGAGAAAATGTTAAATAAAAATCTCTATGCAGCACAACAAAACACACTTATTCTACTGAAGTAATGTAATACAATACAAAACAATATCAACTTATCAGTGACAACTTACCTATGCTTTGAACTGTGAGATCTATCATCCAATTTTATTGGTATTTTATAATTATTGCCATCTGGTGAACTTTGATGATGAATTAATTGTTGGTGGAGCATAGCAATGTTATCATCCTTAAATGTTAAGCCACATATTCCACAGGGTACACCTAAGTCTGGAAAATTGTAAAAATGATATAAAACTAGGGGGAAAAAATTGTTTCTTTGATTAGTTTTTAAAACAAAAATCAAGAGGCATTCTAGCTCTTACCAGATACTTGACATGGTGATCCTAATTTAGGCACCGGTACAGTTTGGTGAGTTAAATTGATCCCATGTTCACTTAACAAACAAATAAGAGTTTGAATCAGGCAAAAAGTAATTTATCAGAGCTGTTTCATAATACATATAACAAATGCAGCACATAACTTTACCTTGAATTGTGCAGAGGTAATGGAGGAGGTGGGTTATGATTCAAAGCATTTATATTATCAAGTAGGCAAGAAATTTCTTTTTGTGAAGGTAAAGCACTCATATGAATAGTTTCTTCTCTAGACTGAGGTAGATTGATGAGTTTCAGAGGGTCACTCACCACTGTCATTGTATTCTGAGGCATCAAAGGTGTCTGGGATGTGTCATCTGGAGCTAAAGTACTATCATCAGGCTTGGCCATCAGAATTAGAGGGTATCCAGTTTTTGGTTCAATTAAAGATTGAAATGGTTTACCTTCTTTGTTTACGCTGTGTTCAATATTACTCATGAGAGAGGCTTGAGCTCTCTCTTTTATAGACATGTTTTCTAATGTTGGAATATTGACGAAAACATATGATAACGGAGAGTTTTCAAGAGGCTGAGAAGTAGTAACTGGGACTGATTCTTGAGACGATATAGTTTCAGGACATTGTGAAATTTTGTGGTATTGCATACTTTTAGATAAAATAGCTGGAGGTGTTGACAAATTTGATGCAAGGGAAGAGACCAACTGATTATGTAAAGAATGGCTAACTAGGTGGATAGTAAGCTTATCCAGGCCACAGAGAACCTCTAGGCAGACAGGACATGTCAGTTGCCGAGTTGTAACTCGAATCAAAGATAGCCATAATGAATTGACATCAGAAAATCCAGGTTGGGAGCACAGCGGACAGGATATTGAAAATTCCATCATACAGTCTGAAAGAAAAATAAATTGGGAAATTGAGTGAGGCAGCAGGTATATGAACAGAATGCGAACATGACTAAAATAATAACTAAAACACTAACAACAACCATATGATCGCCTAGAACACTCTTACTGGACACAAAAAATAGCACCTCTAAGAAGTTGAGGGTAGTCATAACCTAACTTACCTCAATTCTTCATGTGAAGAAACTCAATTTCAACAAGATTGGCTGGCTAGTGTGAAGAAAGTATTTTCTTCTGCATTCAAACGATTTGGTTGAACTGCCAAACCACAATGCCAAAACTCATGAAGAGGCACTGACCTAAAACATGGCACGACAAAAGCATTTCAGCTGCTGTTTTTAGCTTCGAAGGAAAACAAGTAACAACAACAAAACATAAACAAAACAAAAACAAAAACATCTGAAGTTGCAAATATGGCGCCCTCCACGAAATTTAGTCCATGCGTAGAAGATGTTTAGTACTCATGATCGTTTGAAACAGCGAACCGGGAAGAAAGGCAGCGGCCGTTTGGAATATTTGCAGGAGCTAGTTACGGAGTTTCAGGACACGTCCAGTATTGGTGAGTCAACCGACTAATGTTGGCTTAACCTCAATCCTTGCCTATGATGCTATTCATTCTTTTTACAGAAGCTAAACACCAAGTTCTTGCTAATTTAGCAAACTTTGCATACGATCCAATTAATTACGAGTTCTTAAGAAGTCTGAAAGTAATTGATTTATTCCTAGACCAAATTACTGATTCTGATGACAATTTGCAACGATTTGCTATTTGCGGATTATGCAATTTGTGCCCAGGTTTGTACATTTTTATATGTTTACGACTTTATTACTATTTGTGACTTTCCAATGTAAGTTGTTTTCCTTATGACTTGTTTCAGATCCTGAGAACAAAGAATATATCATCCATAATAATGGAATTGAAGCTGTAGCTGCGTGTCTGTCATCTCCAAATGAACAAACAGTGTTATCAGCTATTACAACTCTTATGTTTCTGATTACCCCGGAGTCCAAGCCTTGTAAGTTTATTGGTCAATTCAATTGCACTTCACTACTTTGGTACCTACCCCATTTTCAAGTAGTAAACACAAAGCACACACCAATATCCGTTAAATTTTGCGACCGCATTGGTTTAATGCTAACTAGCTGTACAAAGCCGGCTTCATACCAGTAGTGCGGCGTTTTCTCATTTATATACTGTCATTTGAAGTATATGATGAGTCCGGCATTGAAAATAAGATAGGATGCATCAATTCTTTATGTTGAATTTATTTACTTGAAGTAAACTGACAAGTATGTCGTTTTGTTTTTCTACACAGCAATTACGTCTGTGGAGATTATCGAGTGCATGCTTCGGTTTTCGTCTAGTGCCAACCCACGCCTACGCAACTTGGCCAATGTATTCTTGGAGGACTACTGTACCCCGCTGCAGGTGACCGAGGTGCGCAAGCAGGTCGAGGTTGCACGCATACCTCTCCCGACATCGTCAACCCCGCCGTCTTCATCCACGTCGTGAAATGTTGTGCCCGCTTTCCCGATGCCGCGGCCTCGCCCACAGCGCGGTTCTGAGGCGCCCACAGCGGCTGCAGCACGGCCAGGCTCCGAAGAGTACGGCGGTGAGGCCGCGGACGTCTCTGAAACCCGGGGAGCGTGCGTCAGCCACCCGCCGCATCACGGAGGCGGACCTCCGCATGTTCGGCGCCCTCAGCGGTGATGAGAACCCCGTCCACTTCCGGGGTGTGCCGTCGGGTGCTTCGGACGAGGGCTCGCGTGTCCTTGTGCACGGCGCGTTCCTCAACGCGCTGGCGGCGGGCGTCATCGGCTCCCAACTGCCCGGGCCCGGTAGCATCGTGGTGGGGCAGAACTTGCGCTTTCCACGGCCGTGCCTTGTTGGTCAAGAGGTTCTCACCGTGGTAGAGGTCAAAGACGTGCGCAAGATTGTTGAAGTGACATTCCAGTGTATAGTGGACGCGGACACGGAGGAGCCGAAGGTGGTCCTGGAAGGCAACGCTCGGCTTATCATGGCGGACATGTCCAGCGAGGAGGTGGACAGCGCAGTCGGTGGTGACGTTAATCCAAAGCCAAATTAGTTGAATAGTAAGAGGTGTTATTAAAGTGATTACAGCAATTTTTACAAATTAGCCTTTTTTCAAACTGCTGTTATTCTTTTTTCGACTCTGTCAGTGCGGTATTTGTGTTCATCGCGTCTTTTTTGGTGTAGTGTGAAAAATAAGTGAAGTAAACTGTAAATTATTTTTAAAAAGAAAAAAGATCAACTGATTATCTGATGAATGCACAATAATAACAAGGACTGGGATGCTCGAGCTGTAGTACACTATACGTTCACTGTGGGCTGACGAATGTGCCCACGTTATGCGTTTTCCACGTAGAACGAACGTGTGCATCAGAGCAAATACCTGAGTGATGCGGGGTTGCCTACCCTCTCCGCAGGTTAGGCTCCTTTGGATAGACCTTTCCCATGTGTGTCGCATGTAGAACGGAACGGGGTAGCTCGGAGGGGTCGACAACTGATGTGCTCCTGTATGGGTTCCGGGCTGGCATAGTGACTGAAGTGATTCGGGTGTACTCCACGTACTGTGGATGTACTCCGAGTGAACTTTACGCATTACTGGTGTACACCGCGTACTACGGGTGTACTACTCTACAACTCTGTCCTCAAAAAATTTGAGTCGTCGACCCCTCGTGTTGCTCAATTTTGTCTTTTAATCGTCTGTTAAAAAGGCAATGGATAGACGATAGAAACCTAAAAACAAAACAAAAAAAGAAACAAACAAAAGTTATTTGTCGTTTTTGAGTCGTCTTTCGTCGTATCCTGTCGGAAGGGGTCGTCTAGAAAGTAGATCAGTTTTTCTCGTTTTCATCCGGCATATTACGGGAGCTCGACGCCTGCGAGACTCGGGGTAGGCCAGCCCGCAGTACACGCATGCACGGCAGGCAAGATGTTGCCTACCTGACAGGCGCTATGTGAGCGTCCTTGCTGAATGATCCCTGACGCGGGCGCCGAGCGTGTTAAACTTTCCTCTCGCCGCGTCGCCCCGCGTGTCGTCGGATGCTCATTGTAGGAGCACCTGGCACCTTTAAACTTGACATGCCACTATTGGAATGTTGAATTTTTTTTAACGTCTTCGACGGCGTTTCGCTGTCTACATTTTCTCATTCCACCACGACTTCAGACGGAGTGAGATTGGGTTGGTCTGCGCGGGGCGTGGCTGGGTCGATATAATTTCATTGTTTCCGTGTAACGAATTTGGTGGCGAGGCGTCGGCCCTTCATGGGCCTTCTTTAGGGCGGGGCGGAGCTGGAGCTGCTGGAACCCTGGAGGCCGCTGCAGGATTGGGTTAGGTCGCGCCGATTGGCTCATGCTATATCGAGTTGTCGCCCGGATTGGATTTGAATTGGCCGACATTGGATGAAATTGGACGACAGTATGGCGGTGATAAGAGAGGAGTCACAACTGTGAGAGGCAGGGACGTGTGCTGTCTGCGTTTCTCGTTTCTTTTTTTTAAAAAAAATCGCAGTTCGTCTGGGAAAATATGACGTCTTGGCTGCCGATACAAGCAGCTGAAGCTGATTGCCTTGCGGCCTAGCGCTTGGCGAGGTGATGACAGTAGGGGCGGTTGGGGGAGTACGCACACAAGCGTAAGATATTTCTTGCTAACCCAAGCCCCCCCCCCCCTCCTTCCCGCGCGGCTGAGCGTCTCTGACGACGTTATTGTGACATTCCAAGGGTTAGAAGAAGAGAACCCCTCCCTTCCACCGCCGCCACTTATTCTGCCGCCCAGTCGCGCTTCCTGCTTCATATCGACGCATTTGAAATTCTAAGCAGAATGAGAGCTCACTGCTATCTGTTGCTCTGAGATACTGTTGCCTCCGCACGTACTGCGTGCTCGACTGCGTGCAGCGCAGCGCATGTGTCGTGATCGCTCACCCCGTAGTCCTGGAGGCCTCACGACGGGTACCACGTCGTAACTGAACGTATTGCGCCCATTACGTTACAGGCTCCGGAACGAAGGTGAATACGTCGTATCTTTGTGTTACCTTATTGCTTCGTAACTTAACTACTTCTATTTACGTTATTCGGTATTTTTGATCATCTCTTGAGAGTGACGCATTCGATGAAAGAGTGATTTCTGCCATTTTTCGGTGCAGGTCATGAATCTCGTTAAAACAGTACTTTCAGATATTTGGTTGTAACTCGTAGGTTTTATAGAGAAAAGAAAATAAGTTTAACTAAAATTGAACTGAACTTTCCATGTGAACCGTTCTGGTCGTTATACAAGTACCGTGACGTGACAAATTGAAGTTAAATTTGAGTTACGGTGCAGTGCGTACCAACAAACGTTACATCGTGAATTGGGGTTAAGTTACGGGTCCCTGGGTTAAGGTCGACCTGTCTCATACTCGACCTCATACCCATTTTCTGTCCAACAACAACTTTAAACAATAATAAGAGAACAGGGCCCGGTTTTATTTTATCCCAGGCCTCCTTATTTGGAATATGAATATCCCAGGTGGGGAATTCCCCGCCATGTGACGTGCCGGCACTAAAGCGCGCTCTTCATTGCGGGCGGGCGCGGCCACCACCTCGGCGGTCTTATCGTTTAGAAGGTGGCAATTGTCTCTCCAGCCGGACTGGCCGCGGGAGAGTCCCTCGGAGGGTCGCTCGGAAGAGTCCCTCGGAGAGTCTCCCCTCTCATCACCGCCGCGCCTCCGCCTCTTTCTTTTCGACCGCCGTTTCTTTCTCTCTCGCTTCATAACATTGGCTTTCATAAGGCGTGTACCGAGCGGAAATGAAAGCGCCCTTGCGATCCACCCCTTTCACCACCTCCTCCCCCGCCCCTCTGCACCGGCGGTGAGGGTGGCCACGTCCACGACGACGCCTCTCCCCCTGCCCGCGCTTCTTCCCTGACGTCTTCTATTTTCTTCCTTCGCCTCGACTGCTCCTCGAGCCCGGGCCGGTAGCCGCAAACGCTTCACGCTGACTGCCCGCCCGGCCCGCGGCTGGTCCATCACACTAGCTTCAGCATCGGTCTGGCCCGCCCACGCTCCCGCCCCCGCTCCGGCCTCCGCTCCCTCCCCCGCCCCCTGAGCCGTAATTACCCTCTTCTTTTGCTGCTTTCGCCCCGAAGCTCCCCGTAAGCCCCCGCCGCCGGCCCGCGGCCCGCGTGGTTTCGCGAGGGTCATTTGCCGCGCCCGGACGCGCCTGCGAGGAAGGCCTCCCCTCCGCGTAATGGTTTCGGACAGTTTTTACCTGGGTCAGCCACGGCGCCCGCCGAGGCATGAATTGTTGCCGTAAGAACGAGCAAAACAAAGGACAGGCACGCGAGGATAAGAAAAAGGAAGCGGCGGCGCGCTGAAAGTGGAAGACGTCTGTTGTTGCTGCCCCTGCAGCCTCTCTCCGAGCGACAGGGGAGCACCCGGGAGCACCTGACCAACGGCATGGCCGCGCTCGGTTCGGCCGCAGTGCGTGCCACTGTTTAGGGAACCTCAGGGAACCTGAGCGGATAATTTTCGCGGCGGGGAGGCAGCATGCCATTAGCGAGGTACAGCTATAGAGTGAAATAATAAAACCTACGTGGCCTGCCTGTGCCGCCTGCCGCCTACAGGTGTGCCAGGCCAGAGGTCTTGCCTGTTTAAGGGATCTTGAGAAAAAAAGTACCAAGCACCTCCGTTATTTGTCGTTACCAAACATTGCCAAGTTCGGCCTCTGCTGCACGCTCTCATAGCGCCTGATGGGGAGGCAAACATCTTGCCCGCAGTGCATGCGCGTGCTGCGGGATGGCCTACCCTCAGTCACACAGGCGCCAAGCTGCCAAAGCTCCCATAATTGGCCGAATGAATTAGAGAAAAGCGAACGTATTTTCTGGACGATTTCTTATTCTTTGCACAGCGGCGCCTTCAGGACTGGTACTTCGATCACAACAGACAACTTTTCTCTCAGGAACTTACATACTTTAACTTCTCTAGTGACGTGTCTAATTCTAGAGTAGAGCAAGAGGGGTTTCTCTTTCCAGCTGCAAAAATAAAGAAAATAATCTTATCTCCCCTGAAAGTCCACGAAACAATGATACACACTTGCTCAGATATCATTTTGGTCTCCAATCAGTTTGGCCGCGGTCGCGGCTCCACGACCTCTTGGCGTCTCCGTCCCCATCCATATCCCGGCGCTGCCGCCCCGCTCTCAAGTCCCTCGCCGCCATAGCGCGATGTCGATAAGCTGGCCCGCCCGCCCCGCCGCCGGTCCCGCCCGGAACCTGTACTCAAGTCAATATTTGCCCTGGCTTATTACGGCCGCTCGGCTATAGCCTAACACCCCCTCCCCTCCCCAACCCGCAGCGCACCGCCTCCGTCCAGAGGAAGACCCCCTCCACCCCTCTTCCCTCTCCAATATCCCCCTACCCCTGCAGCCGTCGCTGTCTCCCACCCCCATACCCGCCAGGTGGATCATTCGCTACTCTTAAAATCCGCGCGTCGCCACAAAGTCTTCTCTGGCTATTACTTTGGCTATACAAGCGAAACGGCGAAGCAATACTCTCCCGTCTCCCCGAAAGAAAACAGGTAATTTGAACCTCGTTTCCCTCGCGTTGCGATCCCCTTACCATCCGACCGACTATGCGTATGTATGTACTCTGCTGCCCCCGCCCCGCCCCTCTCCCCCCCTTCCCGTCTCCTCTGCTTTGAGGCCGGCAACCAGGGCACACAAACACATAC